TACATCATTTTCTCTGTGTTGTAAACCAAAACCCTCTCCCAGACGATCCTCAAGCTGAATCACAGATCCACATGTGCGGCAGTTACAAGTCAGATCAACACAGACCCTCTTGTGAGTCATCATGCGCTCTCAAGTCCACTGAGGCCCCTGTTTTCTAAAGAGTCATGAAAATCGCTGTCCACATGAATCCCCCAAAACAGCAAAACATGGCACTTTTGGTGATGACTCGCCTGTGTCTGAGATATTTTGAATCCATTCTCTCACTTTGCAGCCAAAGTCTGCCTCAGACAAGCCTCACTACTGCCACGCTCATAACAGGATCAAGTGAGTGTGCAGGATTTGGCCTGCAGCCTCCTCTGAGACCCTTTTTTGCTGAGTCAAATGCAAGCACACCCTGTAACAGCTAGCAGATGAGATCACTGAGCAAAGTCTGGCCGATAGTAAGCTGACTTGCTGAACGAGACGCCCTCGGTGCTGCTAACCTTGCCCTCAGAACCATGTGGAGTTTATTAACTGCCGGCGAATGACTTAGAAAGTGAGTCGATCTGTTGTAAAATGTTAGCTGGAACAGGGAAAATCCCCTCAGACTCTGCCAGCACTACCACTGACTCACAAATTTAAACAGAATATTGTTTTTGATGCAGTCAATCAGCCCGAATGAATTCTCTTTACTATTAGAAGTAAAGGATTTCAGTAGTTTCCTGACAGCTATTGTATAACATCCTCATTTCTCAGTGTGCACATGTTAGAGCTGCATAGAGTTACAACATTTGGCATGATCCTGATATCAAGTGTACTTCCTTAGTTCTTTTGTTTCTCTGAAATCACATCTGCATTTCCTCTTAAATTCAGTTGGACTGGCTTTTACATGGATTCATGCAATCAGTGTACATGCAAGCAAGTAGTGTCTTTACAGTGATAAATTCACTCTGTGGGACTACTGACTAATTCAGTGGTGTTCTGAAGACAAAGAAAGAGCACAGGAAGAGTATGAAATTATTATTGAATTGTTTAAATGTTATTGAACCAAATCCCACTGAGGTTGGAAAAGCTCTTTTGCAAGTAATTCCCTTTTGAGAGGGTTTGTTTTGTTTGGTCAGTGTATCTGTTCAGTGGAAGTAGAGGAATCACAGTGAAAAAGAAACTGCCAATGTCATAATGAAGACTGAACCAATTAAATAACAGAATAAAAGTCAACCACAAACCAAATTTAACTCCAGTGAGGAAATTATAATTATTAGATTAATATGGAACCCACAAATCTTTACTGGATAGACTTCAGAAAAGAAGGGTGTGAATAAGACATACAGCAGATGAAATTATACAAATAAATGAATAAATTATAAGAACCAAAACGTCAGCACTATTAATAGCAGCAGAACTCAAATTAAAGAGATTGAAAAAAAAGAGCTATTGATAACTAATTAATGAAACACAAATAATGCAATAAATCAGAAGTTAATATTTGCAAAACCTGCACTTAATCTTTAACATAAATTAAATGAATTTAAAAAAATAAACAAATCAGTATTTGAGGCTTACACCTTTCAAAAAGAAAGGCCTTCATTTAAATTACATTTTAGTGATTCCGTTCACTCTTTATGACCTTAGTCATCTCTTGATATTTAGTTTGGATTTCTCATTTACTTTAAATTGGTTTTGGAGTTGCTTGAATGATATGAATCATCACCACAAGCTTAGATCCATCAAGGGACGCATTCAATTGTTGTACTTCACTTTCTGACCTGAGTTTTGTAGAATAAATACTTTATTGATTGAATCTTTATGTTTTCTCATAAATGTATCCATTCATTTAATTTACTGTTTGTGTGCGTGGTCCTTATTTGGCCACATAATAAGCCATTTTTGTTTAACTTTAAATTTTTTAAAAGATATATTTTTTAGCCTCTATTATTTACCGTCTCCCTCGTGTCACTGAGGGTTTCTGTGAATGGCACTGCCAATTAAACACAATCAACGATGACTTACAGTTAAACAGCACTTACCTATATTGTCATGTCTTCCAAACCAAAGGCTCGTCTATCCATAAAACAGAGAATGACATCATGAAGAGTGCTGTAACAGTGACAGTAACAGTGATTGAAACAACTCCTCTGCAGGGGGATGCTGATAATGTAAAAAAGAAAAGGAAAAAAATGAAAGGAGGTGGGTTAATTGTACATTATCAGTACTATTTACCCCAGTGATGATTCGGATTGACTCACTGCAGCTGAGACAATGGATAAATGGATAAGTTTTCGGGGAAAACCGGGTTCACTGGGAAAACATTGGAAATACCTGGAATGATGAATGCACTTCTAAGGAAAGAGCAGAGATGGCTAAATGGATTATGTTGTAGTGACTGGGAAATCATTCAAAAATATGCAAATAAACCGGCTATTCTTAGTGATGTCTCTTTTGAACCGAGCTGTGAGTAACAGATAAAAAAACAAAGTCATTTAGTCGAGTTATCAGGAAACACCTGGGGATTTCTGCATCTCCCTGGGATTATTACCAAGAATACCACAAATAGTTCTTTGGCACTCTCCTACCACCATTTTGTTAATCACCCTGAGGAATCTTATGCATGTCTTATCAAGCTCTGGAAACTCAAACCCCATGTAGTGTGACCCACATGCTGCTTGCCCCTTTGGCTTTGAATGTCAGATTGGACCCCTTTTGACTGAATTCTTAAACAGCATATCTCTGCACCCTGATGGGATGCACTGGTTGTAATAGCACACCACGGAAGCCCGCTTCCATTGGTGCACTTAAAGAAAGTACTTTTTTTTTCATTTTTGCCTGCCGGAGAACAGAGTTATTATGGCGTTTTATTTTATTTTGAATTGTTGTTTTTAATTCAGTTTAGTTTCAGTTGGTTTCTAGAGTGTGTTTTCTTGTTTCAGTTTTGGTTTAATTGTTTTAAGAAGTTTAGTTTCAGTTTAGGTCTTACAGTCTTATTAGTGTATTGGTTTTGTTTCTTTTTTTTATTCCAGTGTGGGGTGCTAATTTTCAGGGGCAAAATTTAAGAAGTTCATAGGTATTATAACACAAACACTTTATGAAGGTAATTGACTCACAGTCATGCTGAGCTCATGCTTTTCAATAAAAATTAAAAAGACTATAGACAAAATATCATGTATATTTTATATTTATTAAGTACAAAATAACATTGCATTGAGTTTTCATTGTTTTCTAAAGCAGTCAGTTTACTACAAATTTCCACACGTAGTTTTAGTGAACTATAATCAGAGTCAGTGGGAATAAACAGTCCGGCATCTAGTGACAGATATGTTTTCATAAACTTGTAGTTAACCTTGGGAATACTGTACACCTCTATCTCACAACTGTCATCCATCATAATCCTTTTTTGTTAGATCTTCACATTTAAAGTTTATTTACAGGAACCAACACAGTTGACAAAGATACATGTTGTGTCTATTCCCACTCAATTAGGACTAAAAATATAAATGTAGAGGTACATGGGGGGAAAAAAACTGTTCAATGGAAAGACAAAAGTGATGTAATTCAGTAGAAACTGCCAGAGGACAATTTGGGTAGACTATGAGGACTGCATCAAAGTTATGATTGCGTCATTGCTGTTCATCAAGTGTTTGATCACAAGAGGGCGCCCTATTCCATAAGTCGTCCCCTTACATGCAGAAAGGAGCTACAGGGGAAGTGAAAAAAAAAAGCTAATCACTGCTCTTGTATAAAGATAAAACACAGTGTTTTTCTTCCATTTTACAGCACTGATTGCCATTTGAGATCATCATTGAAGCTACCTCCATTCAAAACCCCTTTTTTCCATTACAGCTGAGTTTGGGGAAAGCTCCTTTTTTGAAGTATTCATACAAAGTTGACTTGATTTTCATAAAACTGAAAAAATGAGAACTGAAGGCGAAGGCAGACAATGGACAAATCAAAGAAGCCTGTTGGTTGACAAAACAATGGGATGTATTCAATTGACACCTGCAGGGTAGAGTAAAAATGTCCTGAGACACATTTTTGACTGACTTACACACACTACATACATTTTTAATGCATTTAAAAGATGCTCAGAATCATATATGTGTGGGTTTATGTGTTGTCAAGTATTATGGGTCATTAAAGGACCAGTGTGTAGGATTTAGTGGCAGTGTAGTTGCAGCTGCCTTTCCTAGCACGAGGGAGAAACTACGATGGCCGCAAAATGTGTGAAAACATAAACGGACGACACCTTCAAATGCTGCTGTAGATGCAGCAGGGGTACTGGAGATATTTAGCATTACACTTCCATAAAGTGTGGGGACTAAGATTGGACTTTTATACTGTAGTACGTATCAAGCTCCAAAAACACTAGTTCCACAATTCCCATAATGCAACTCTTTCATTAGATCCAACTGCCTCTGAAACACCTACTTCTTTCCAACTTCTCTTTTAATTTATTATTTTTTCAAACTTCATAAAGTTCCTTCAGAGCCACAGAGGACATAATACGACTGTTTTCACACACTGAGTAATAAAAGAGCAAAACTGAACTTCAAGCGTAAAATTACTGGAGTGCCTCGTTAATTCAAATAAACTCATAAAAGTCTTACAGGAAGCCTAACCTAAACTAAAAGTTTTCTGTGCAAGCACAACTTGTCTACTACTGTTATGCAAAAGTTGTGCAAAGGACTTAATTGACCAAATCTGGTACATAATCATATGCTATAATGTTGTTGTTGACATTTATTATCTATACTATAGTACCAGTATAACTCCTAATACTTGGAAAACAATTTCACATTTCACACAGTATGACCTAGCTATAATCATATCATCTTATCATATGATATATAATAATATAAATATATATATAAATATATAACACAAATAGACAATTATAATTGTGAAAGATAGATTAATACAGTAATAAACACTAATAAAGCATTTATTACTTATTTAATCCTACTTTAAAAGTAATAAGCCATTGACAGTATTATAGCACCGACAGTAATGTAAAACCAGCAAACACATTGTTGCATATTTGAATTATCATCTTTATTTGTTTTATTATATACTTTGTGTTTTTACATAAAGAGACATATTTCTTTTACACATATAGATTATATGGTTAATTTGTATCTGTATATATGTACACCTTAAATAAATCTTACATCAACACCAAGAAAATAAACATTTACAGTGCAAGAATGTTCATTAGTGATTAACTCTCACGGTTCGCTTACCCTGGTAAACCACAACCGATGCCAAGCTCACATGCTAAACCGGTTTTGCCTTTGGATTTTTTTCTTTTTGTTTTTCCTCTCTCCATTCATGCTCGCACACAAAAACACAATGAGAGCTGTGGAGAAAGAAAGAAGAAATGGTTGTCCTGACAAGAGGGGTTTGGGGAATGGAAGTGCACGGGTACAGTGCGACTGTAGTGGTAGAAGGTCAACCAAACTCAGGCAAAGACCTCTTGACCTGTAGGAATTTTGGGAAATGCTTTCTTACCGCGAGTTAGACAAAAACATCAATACCACTCTCTCCAAAACTGGAAAATAAAATCTCTACTTCCTGTTTTTACACTCGTACTGTTTTTGTACAGATTTAACGTACGCGGCTTTAGAGGTGTTGGTAGGTGAATTTGGTTACCTTTGGATAAAGCCAGACTAGCTAGTGTCACGTTTTTGTGCTAAGCTAAGCTAACTAGCGTTGTATTTACTGCACTGACACGAAAGTGGCGTCCATCTTCTCACATATAACTCGGCAAGAAGGCAAAAAATTGCATTTTCCAAAATGTCAAACTATTCTTTGAAAGAGAGGGGCGAGTAGAAACTAGAGGTGAGGTGTGATCACAAGAGAGAGTGGGTGCTCGGAGGGAAGAGAGGCCTTAAACTGACTCTTTGAATCTGGGTTGTAGAAATGCTCAAGGAAATATACTGCACGAGAGCAGACCACACATAACAGTTTAACATATGAGTTGGGTTGATGCAGGGATCATGGTTTTCTTTTTCCTGCGCATTTGTGGCCTTTGCCAAATGCCAAAGAAAACATGGTGTTCTAGTCCTGCTGTTGTTGAATTTGTCGGAGCAATATGGTATTTAAAGCCCTCGTTTTCGTAGCAGAACAGGCTTGTTTACAGTGTAATGTATGCTAATGAGATGTTGAGTAGTCTAAAAATAAATGCTCATGTTGTTTTTTGCTCAGTAATACTATGACACTAAAGGGCCACCATAATTGTCCTTTTCCATCCACTATTACAAAAAGAAAATAAATAAAAGTGAATAAAATACATGTGTGAACCATTTGGTTCTTGCAAAGGAACCCCCCCAAAAAAATCAAAAAAAACAGGTGTTCATATTTACAAAGTAAAACCAATGAGTTCTTGGTGTTTCTCTCTGAATGGATGCATAAAAGTGAACATATATAGTTGGTCTAAGCTCAGCTGTACAGTCAGTGGGTAACCAGCCCAAATTCCTCGCATGCATTTTTCCTCACACATTCAGATAATCTATTTACTATTTTTACAGTGAATTCCTACTAAGCTGCTGTACAGAGGCTGTGCTGAGGTAAAGCAGGTGTTTCTGGCCAGCTCTAACAGGAAGGGGTTTGCGGAAAGAGGAAAGGTGTACCACTTTTTCCTCGGTGGGTTTTCGGAGCACGTCGGACAGGAGGGACAACGGGAGACAGACGCATGGCGGGGGGAAGGGGAGGTATGCAATTCTCAACGACGACACACACGGTATATTGCTGTTAAATCTGTGATTTCCACATTCTATGTAGCCTAAAGAGAGATTGTGATTATGATTTCTATTTCCAGTACAAAACACAGATTGGTGTATTCTTTTTTTGCAGTTAGTTGCAAAATACTGGTAGTATAACCTCTAGTCATAGATAAATATAAGGAATGGTCATTGTGTGATGACTTCAAATGCAGATTGCACACATGCACACAAAAGCACCTTTGATTAGAAAAGAAATTGCACAAGTTTGATAGATATCATTGACCATACATGTTGACATTTTCTACATAGAGACTGACTAGTGGTTTGCATTAAGAAGTTATGAAACATGTTTGAAAAAGTATACATTTTGGTATACAACTTCTTAAATGTTGATTGGTATTATTCACCTCCGAGTGTCTATTTGTACATGCAGTTGACTCCTTAAAACTACTACCCCAGGAGCTTGACTAGCCGGTGATTTGAGCCCAGTTCTACTGTGAACAAAGCACTACACATTGACTAATCTAATTCAACCATGACACTTAAACACTGTTCTTTTCAAAATGTATTATTTTGACATAGTACCCATGCCTTTTTTTCCAACCAGTGAAAGATATTGAAGGCTAGCATATATTGTGAGAGGCTAAACTTCAGGTAGGCTTATTTTTTCTTTCCTTTGTCAGTCGGTGCGTGTGAAGCATGAAAAGTTCTGTACAATCATAACATGGTGTTCAGTGGCAAAAAGGAAAAGATTGTTAAGATGACTCTACATGAACTAATACTGCTACAGTACATCTAATGCTACTTTCTATATATTTCATGAATCCCAAAAAAAAAAGAAAAAAAAAAGAAGAATCCTCGGTGGTGAAAAATGACATCCGGCAGGGAAGAGGGGAAGCTTAAACTTGTCATTCAGACTGAGCACATGATGAATCTGCAAATAAGAAATAACAAAGAAGAAGTTCGCCTGCCCAGCAAGAGTGTTTCATCCCTTGTTGCTCAGGTGCAAAGCTCACAGGAGAGTCTTTTTTCGCTCAATACCATCGGACAGAAAACACGTTCGGCACGGAATCTTCATCCACACAGTCTGCCATTTCCTCATCCACAAACTCACTCTTGGTGACAGCGTCTTAGTCTGTTAAACTAGTGTGTGTGTGTGTGTGTGTGTGTGTGTGCGTGTGTTCAAATATGCTCACAATTTCAGCTCAGCCACTGCATTTATTATTGAGAGTTTTATACAGTGCGTCCCCCAAAGTTAGTTCACAGGAGGACATTCTCCTCAACCTACCAGGTGGAGTCTTGATTCCAGCTTATCTAGTGACACTAATGGCATGCATAATGCTTCTATATTTGGCTGGTGCACCCATAACCCCCCTCACCTGCCAATTAATAATAATAATAATAATAATAATAATAATAATAATAAATAAAAATCCACTCAGGTTAGGCCTATGCTAAACCAGCCAAGCCAAAGTCTTGTGCCCTTGTTGGTTCAACCCCTCCCCGCCACCACCTGCTTACTGAAAATATAGGTCGATTCCATATTTTTTATATTATTCTCTTCTCCAGTCCTCGTTATTCTTCTTTTAGTCCTGGGGTAAAGGATCACAAGGGTCAAGTGAGAGCGATGGCGGACGAAGAAGGATGGTTGTGTTGGTGGTGGTAGTGACGAAGGAGAGGAAGTAGGTCCACGGAGGTCCCTCAGATGGACACCGGACACTGGATGACCCTGTCCTCCAGCATGACGCTGACCACCAGGAAGACCAAATACAGCATGAACATGATGGAGCCGAGCAGCTTGCTCATGCGCCACTTGCAGGCGGCGATGGAGATGATGACGAAGAGGAGCATGAGGAAGAGGAGCACGATGGCACAGAAGAGGCCGTTGGAGCTGACTGGCACCGGTTGCAGGCCGTTGAAAAAGGACCACATGAGCCAGGGGAACGGCAGTCTGCAAATACACAAACACATGTTACATGCTGCACCCTTTCACAAATGCACCTGAAAGACAATTAAAAAGAAAGTGTAAAAGCAGGTTTGTAAGGCGAGTCAAGGCATTTTTGAGACATTTTTTCCTGTTGATATCATTTGACGCATACTCAGCAGAGCATAATGTAATGTATACATAGATAAAATTAAAGAGCAACTTGGCTGCAGCTGAAAATCTAGTTTTTGCTGACCCAAAGTTTCATTTCTCACCTTGCTTTATAATTGTGCGGTAAGGGGTTACGGCAGAGCTTCAGAGCCTGCACACGTAGCCAACAAATCTATGCTGTTGTTATATGACGGTAAGCGAAAGAACACAGCTACTGTGGGATATATAATGAATATATATATATATATATTACACAATACGGCCTGATTAGGTGGGTGCGTTCAGCTATCATCTGACATATAAAGCGAGGTGTAAAGGTGTGGTTCTCCAGGGTGTGTAGTACACTGTGACATCACTGCTGGGTGTTGTTATACAGTGGCAGCGCTCCAGTAAATAACCATATGCTCCCAATCTAAGTCCGACACTGACAAAAGCACTTGCCTTCTCCCGCCTTCTGTGCTTTTATATGTTAGCAACTAACTGCCAGCACTCCAAACAGAGGCATTACAGCCTTGAACAGTGTTTAAACTCACCGTTTTGCAACAGACTGAATCTTGTTTTCCCCTCAGGGCTTACTGTAGATGTATGCGCTGCACTGCTGAGACTGTTCAGTACTACCGTATGGCAAAGGATATCAAAGAGACCTCTTCAGGGCTTCGAGTCTCACTAGATAACAGGCAGTCAACTCAGTGCTTGTTAGCCTGTTAGCCAGTGGATACTATCCCTGGGTGTCTGCCTGCGGTGAGCCTCGCTGCTGCAGTTTGGTTGATAGTTCATTCTAATTCAAATACCTTCATCATCTTCAGATCATTTCTTATTTCTACTACTGTCATGATACAGCAAACATAGAAGTTAAGTCAAACACTTCTTGATTTCATATGTTATCAGCTTTATGTTGCACACAACTTATTATTTTGGGGGGATAATGAAGCATAAATGGCTTTACTTCCATTAGATACCTTGATATAAATGTAAGACGTCTCAGGATTTACAGTATTACTAGATGAGTTCTTACACTGTTAACCTACAACCATTTTGCCTGCTCGAGTGACGCTCGACATGTTCTCAGAATAGATGTAGTATTTCTCTGTCTCAGTTTCCAAGTATGAATAAATACAGAATACAAAACAGCAAGACCCTGCACAGGCTCAAATCAGACTCAGATGGCGTACCCAACAGTAATGTCGAAGATGTTGGAGCCCACGGAGCTGGATACAGCCATATCACCCAGCCCTTTGCGTGCCACAATAACACTGGTGATGAGGTCAGGGATGGAGGTTCCAGCTGCTAATATAGTCAGACCCATAATCTCCTCTGTAATCCCAATGGTCTCTCCAACCTGCAAAAAAGAAAAAATCGAAAACTAAGCTCAGGGGTAAATAAAACCTAATCTTTTGTTCCAGCTATTTTTAATTTCCTCGTGATACTCTGGAAGCGATGGAGCTGACAAAACTCTAGCTCTGACAGTCTCTTTGTTTTGAATAAGACAGCTGTAATAATTTATGAGTGGGAGGATTATAGAATATGGTTTCATTTTAAATGTCAAAAATGGCGAATAGAAAGAAAAGACGAGTGCAACTTGCCTTTGTTTTTTGACAGGGATTATACTTACGTTAGGATTTTATAAAGTTCTGTGACTGCTGTCGTGATCACATAACACCCAATTATTTTTTTTACAATCTCATGTCCTGGGGAGTCTTTGAGAACTGTGTACCTGGTGAGCCCACCACACCATCAGGTAGGAGAAGCATGCTATCCAACAGATGGAACCCAGGAAGGTGACGGGGAAGAACTTCTGTGATGCCTGAAAGACAAAGAAAAAGAGAGCAAATAGTGAATTTACTGAATAAGGACTCCACACTTCAGGGTTTGAGTTATAATCAGAGCTTTGTGTGGTTCTAACTAACATTGGGGGGGATAGAATAATAGCCTAATGGGTGTGCTTTCCACGAGAGAGCAGCAAAAACCAGGAACAGGTCGTCGATACTGCAACAAAGGTTCGATATATGCCAACCGAGACCCATCAAAGGATGCAATTCTGCCCTTTTTGGTATCACATGAAAGATGGGCTGTGTAATGTTGTGCACCACTAATGGGAGGATATCCAATACAAAGCAAGCAGTCAATACAGATTCCAATACAGTAGTAGTTAGCGTTATGTTAAATGACATAATACTCGTTACACTGAAAAATGCATTGTCTGTTCTATTTAAAATCTTTAAAAAAAGATCCCACTGGCTCCCACGTAACTCGAACCCTGTCACACTTTGATGATGTTCTTGTTTCAGACTGCCTCACACACCGGTTTCCTGACGTCAGGCAGCGTTATCCACAGGGGCAGGACAATAGGTATGATTAAGAGGTAGGTGAGGCGCTTGCGGTTGGACTCAGGCCAGGACAGGCTCAGAGGCTGGTCCTCCTCCTCCTCATCCTCAGCCTGAGAGGAGACACCAAAGAATAGAAAGGAGATTGAAGTTACAAAACAGTCATGAGAACGGGCTTAAACATGCAGTGTGTTTACTGTTTATTTCTGGTCTTGTGCTTTCACATAAGGGTGTCATGTTTGGGTGCCCACATAACATATAGTGTAATCACTTGGTGTTTAATGTACCATCTGGGAGTAAATATCAGATAAATATGAAGCAAACAGCACATTGAGTTGAGTCATGCTTTTCTACATTTTCCTAAAGGGATGAGGGGGAAAAACTCATTACAATCCAAGTGTCTCCTTTAGCTTGATAACTTGTCTCATTGGGATACACCTCTCCATAGCAACTATCCAGAGAGGCAGGCAGCACTCTTGCAACACAAGCACTTCAAGAGAGGAAAGTGTCTGCAGAAATTGATGGCAGGACCTGGATGTGCACGTGCCTTTACTCTATGGTGACCTTAAGACAGAGGAGTCTGATGACTGTGATTTGGGAGATTGCACCGAGCCTGAAGGGCTCTGCCTCTCCAGTCATCAGGGGCTCATCACTGCTGACTGCTGACGCTGGCTGCACCGGCAGACCCTGAGGGTCTGATTGGACCTGCCACTGGAATGCCAAGTGAGCCAAAGACTGTCACCTCTCTGCAAATCAGCATCAAATAAGCTGTCACTGCCTGAAGATGACACATTCTAAAGGCACCAGTGCATTGGCCGACTAAATGATTTTTTCATCTAGAGCATTAACCTTACCTGTTCAGCTTTTCTGCTTACTTTTGCAAAAGCACTCTCAATTAAACATTTTGGTACGTAAACTTTAATGATACAACAACAAAGCCTCCTGAGAGTGGAAAGACGTCTTGGGTCCCTTTGTATCCAATTATACAGGATGCTACGGAGCCGTGGGGACCTGCAGACAACAGGTCCACACATGCAGATACAAGCAGAACACACTGATGACCTGAAGTTTTCTCTCTTGCCCTTTCAAGAGTGACGTTAACCAAGGTGTAAAATTAAAATAAAACAGGCAGCAAAAGAGTTAGAAGAAATAGACTGGGAAGACAAAACATTCAGCAGGGCAGATGTTGATAGCAGATGTTGCTCAGTAAATAACAATCTCACCTCAAGAAAATAATTTAAGTCTTAACAACTTCAATCACATCAACAAAGCATGCCCAGAGAGTGAAGCATACATATTTAAAGCTGGCTACTGCACAAATCATGAATCATATGGAGCTTATCCTGCTGTGACAGCTACTGCTTTTGAGTATTGCCTGGTAACCTTGGTAATCAGAGCTGCTAAACAAAAGGCAGCGTTTGCATCACTTATGCTCAGCATTCTGATTTCTCCTCCCCTCCACATCCAGATGGCTGCATTGTTGTTTGTTAAAAGGCCTAAAACCAAAAACCTGAGGCTTTAGGAAGATCAATTCTGACCATAGATATCAAGATATGGGAGGTTTTCATTAGTGTTATTATGTATTGACTGTTGTTTTTTAACAGCTTCTTCTCATGTTCGAGAAGGAATAGTTGCATTATACTGCACTGCAGTTTGCCCTGCGGCTCTTCAATGTATAGGTTGACTGCATTCAGGTGACTATTTCTGTCTGATACTGCACACTATGAGTCTATTTATGATTTGCTTCACTTTCTTTCTCTGCTAAAGTACCCCATAGAGCTGGTGCTCCCTTCTCTGAGTTGGTCTCCAAATGCCAGCCCCTTGGGGGCCTTTCCTGCCCTATGGTGCCTCAGTTGGCAACACGGCCAACTCCGAGCTTAAAGGCACTGACTTTTACCAGGCACCACAGAGCTGCAAGGGGAGGCGTGACATTTGCTATTTTTTTTCTTCCCGGAGGGAAGCCTGTGCGCTGGCACCTGGTGTGTGTGTGTGAGGCAACTTCTACACTTTTTGTGTGTTCAAACACTTATTGTAAGCATAGCTGCAATAAGGCTGCATCATTTACATGACTTCATTGATCCTAATTTTAGTATCATGGAATGAGTGCAGTCTTCTATCAAAATTACTTTTATCTTTTTGGGAACGTGCCTAATATCCTTTCTCAATATAGAAAGCAGTGCTCAGTGACACACATACTTACAAGTTAGATCTTTCTACGTGTTTAAGGGGAAGAAAAATGATTTAATCTAGTGGTGTAGCTGCAGATTGCACCTCCCTCGCTTCACCCTCCCCTTCCAAGTGTGGATGAGAATCTACGCTGGCCACGAAATGCGCAAAAAAGGTATTTTCTAGTGCTTGTGTTCTGTTTGTCCATTCTGGGCTACAGTAGAAACATGGTGGTTCAACATGGTGGACTCCAAGGAAAGTGACCTGTGGCGTCTGTAGATAAAAACTGCTCATTCTAAGGTAACAAAAACACAACAATTCTTATTTTCAGGTGATTATACACTAATGAAAACATACCCTGTATCATATTCCATTTCTACTAAATGTTACACACTGAACCTTTACATTTCTACATCTCCAGCATGTCATTTATTTTAATACTTTTCTTTAGAAACTACATTCATTTCTTTTAATAGTTTGACGATTGAATGAATTGAAGTGTCACATTAAAAGTGTCACACAGAGGATTCATCTTTTTGATGCATAACTCGTCACTATAACAGCTGCCATGGCGTGAATATTGGCATCTGCTATTTGATTGTGTTTTTTTTATTTTTTTTTTACGCAGAGGCTCCATCTGGATATGAAATTCTTTGTTCTCATACTATTTAGCAAAAAGAAAAGCAAACAGATATTCAAATCTGATGTCACTTCTGTCCTGAAACCCATGATACACACAGGGTTTTATTTCAAATCGTTTTAGTTGTGATACAGGAAGTAGGATGAGTCATAAATTCCTGTCGGTTATGATGTTCTTTAGTTTCTCAGTATGTTATCTAAAGAAGTGATTACAGGAGCTTTAAGCACTTATACATATTCCAAATGTGTGCTGAGAGTAGAAAATCCTGAATATATTTCTTACTTATTTCTTAAATTTGCTGTGAGTCATACCCTGAATGTGCCCATCCTTCATCTTTGCAAGAAGCATTTTAAACTTGACTGTACACTACACTTATACACTGTACAATATTGTTTTTATGAAAAATAAATACTTTAATTTCTGCTGTTTGGGAAAATATTGCAGTATTTGATTATTTCTGTCAGCACAGCTCTCAAAGGTTTTAAAAAAAAAATAAAGGGAGCCAGGAAATTGTGCTGTAAGTCTGCTGCACATTTTAATTTGACCTTAACTATCTCCTTATTCCCCACTCCTGGTTACAAGGGCATCTGGGAGGAACTGAACAATTAGTATGACGGGGCCTCTGGCGTCATATGAAGGTGTGAGCCGTTTCCAGCTACTTCCTAGCTGACACAGACAGGTGCACTATGGGACAGACCTCTGAAAATAGCAGCATGTGAGATATGCCAATAACAGTCCAGCTCTTTTAAATTCTACAATCACTACCTGAAAAAGGATCTTCCATATTCCATCTATCGGATTTTCTGCCTTCACCTCAAAAAGTTAAGGTCTGAGGTGAGTCTAAAAATTGCCTCGAGCTGGCTGCATTGCCTCTATTTTTTTTTTTTAGACGCAAATATTTTCGGCTTCAGGACAGTGATGACAGTTTCATCAGTAAAGACTATTATTAACCCAAGAGTGAGAGATCAGAAAACAACTTGGTGCAGTGGAATAGATCAATACACACATGGCCATGTTGCGAATCAGGGCTCATCTTTAGCAGTTTCTGTGCAGTCTATTCTGAGAACCTCCTATATGCTCCACACTAGTTTGTATTTATAGACTGTATCTAACCGAAGAGGCACGCTTGATGCTAAAGTGCTACAGTGTGTATTTTAGGTGCAGAAAGATCCTATGTTTTAAGATTCATTCAGTTCCTACAATTCAGTACACTACAGCCGTGTTATTTAAAGACTGGTGTTTGATTCAAAGGCTGATACGTGCAAAATTAAAATCCCTATTGTTTTGCAGAGACCTTTGTATGCAAAGCTACTGGTCATATGACAGTTTATCTACAAAGCCCTTTACAAATCCTTGCAATACAAGATCAGTTTGAAAAAAAAAGATTAATATAGTGGGTTAGTAGCTTGAATCAAGGTAAACTGCATCAGATTAACCCAGAGAATAGCCTATGAAATTAGTTTTAGGCCTTGAGAAGAAAATAGGAAAATGTAGGTGTGTAGAACTTGGATATGAAAACAATTATATAAGAGATAGAGAAATAATTTTGAACTAAGGAAATAGGTTTTTGATACTGCTGGCTAGCATTTATCCTGCTAAAGCCTTTAAATGTATTTTCACACTTAAGTTAGCTCTTTGTATAGCAGTATGCATGGTCAGTGGCGGAGCCCGCCATTCTCGCGCTGGATTCAAATGATGTGCACGGCAGACTTAATGAATGCACAAACTGGAAAAAATTCATAATATCGGATTTGTGATGCAATGAGAAAGAGAACAGCCAGTGCAGTGTCAATTCCAACAGAACTCTGGGACTGTATCATTAAGATGTTCTTGCCATTAACACCATTAACCACAAGAGTCACCAGATCAACCAAAACTTATATCTTTAGGATTATAACATGAAAAACCTGAGTGATCAATGTGTATTTTACAGTATAATTTTTTGCAGCTTGTATTAAATTATTTGCTCACTGTCATACAATATCTGAATCAAAATATTTCAGCCCCCAAGACCAAGTTGAAAATACAATGGTAGCAGGATTAAGTTTGTCTTGGGGTTACTCTTGGTCGTGGCAATGTACCAAGTGAGAATCCAGCAGGATGACAGACACACCCGTCTCCTCTGCCTGCTTCCCCTCTAAGTGTGCGACTTTGAATTGCTGCCCACCTGCCCCAGGACCGTCTGCTGGCCTGGCGGGTTGCTGCGTCCCACAGCCATCGCTCACGCCAGCACAACTGCTGCTGCAGGTGCCATTCTCTGCGCCTGGCAGTACGTCAAAGGACTGAGTGTGTGCGTGCTCGTGTGTTGAGGCACGTGTGCCAGTGTGTTCATTTCGAGCACCCAGCGGCGGGGAGCAGCAGGTGAGTGAGGAGTGTGATTACAGAACTCAGTGGGATGAGGCGGGTCTTTGGCAGGTCTGGCTGAAGATGGAGGAACTCGCCCGAGTGCATGCTGGGAAATTATCAGCAGTAGTGACCTGTGCCATAGTCGGTGCAACCTTTGCATCAATCACACTCAAGGTGGAACACAGACACAGATGAGAGGCATAAAATATTCATAAATGTCTCTCCAACTTTGATATCTGTCTCTTTGTCGCCTTTTCATAACACAACCCAGTTAGCTGGCGTTGAAATTAGTATAAACTGTTCTTTTTGTGTACGCGTGCACACTGTGCATTTCTTACCGTTTCCCCCTCTTGCCCTGCCGTTCCATTCATGGGTGGTGTCACTTCCACTTCCACGCTGGAGCTGTTAGGAAGGTTCTTATCTGTGAGAAGTTTGAAGAATAATTAAAGTGAAAAGGCTTTTAGAGGAACAAAAGCTGTCATTATAGACATGGGAGTGTTGGTTGTTATGACGTGGAGAGAGGTGGGAGACAACACCTCAGCAAGTAGTTCACTCCTTCAACCCTATGGACACATACTGTTATGATATGGCATTTTGCAGTTTGTCTGTACTTTTACTTAAGTAAATTTGGACAATTTAGTTACATAATCTATTTGAATACCTTCAGGTCAATATAAAATCTGTTCCATTAAAATTTCCAGTTTGTATTAAGTTGACAAACAGTTCAGTCATGACACTGAAGTAAATCTAAATAAGAATCACAGACTCATTTGGAGACTTTAATATTGAATGTGATGATCAAAAAGTGCTGTTCATTTAAGTATCTCTGTGTGTATGAATAAGTATTTGCATGTCTTAGGCTGTGTTCATCATCCATCACTCTTATCATATCCTGGTGGCTGATATGACTCCATTTCATTTGAGGCCAGACTTACTTAACAGCACTTATTAAAATACAAAGAGCCGAAAGCCATGTAATCAGATGATAAAACTATAATTGCCGTGGAAATTGCTTTAATCCAAGTGAGGTTGTGACAATTAGAAAGATTCTCAGATAGATAATGTGACTTGATCGTCCAGCACATGCCCTCCCTTCCTCCCTCCCTTGGATGCTGTGATATCACAGATAAAGATAGGTTATGACTCTAAACTATACTGACAGTAAATATTCTTTAACCACAAACGCGACTGGCTGAATTTAAGAAACGTGAGGCCTGAAAAGTAAAGTATGCTGTGATGACTACCAGTCATGCATTTTGATTAAGATGGTAATATGTTAATGCGACGCTGTTAGCATAATTTTGCCTTGTTGATAAACATCTATGTCTCGCTTTGATTCTGCTGCTCTGACTACATTGTGGCCATGAAAGCGCTTCCTCTGGCCTCCTGTTTATCCTTTGGTCCAGTGCTCTTTGAAGTGAAAAACACACATAAATTACACTTGGCAGTGACTGTGATTGATTTAAATACTGCTTGAAGACAACACTTGCAATCAGTTTGGCAGTTCTTGATAATGTCATGCTTGTTTAACATCGGATGTGATGCTCATTAACTATTTCAGTGGGCAATCCTAATAACGGATATAAGGAATATTAAGCCGGGTGATGTCTATTCATGAAGTTGTAGCATCAGCAAACTGATCTTTGTGAAAAATAATAAGCTGATATTTAATCAAAGCAATAGTTTGACATTTTGGGAAGTTTGCTTATTCGTTTTCTTGCCTACAGCTAGCAGCCGGTTAGCTTAGTTTAACATAGAGGTTGGTACTTGCTTGCTGAATCTGTATAAAAACTACAGCATGTTGTCTTAACTCTTAAAAACAAAGGATGTACTGTGTTAAATGAATGAGCTTTAGAGGTGCAATAAGGCAATTCTTTTTTCTCTCCTTTGGATAGAGTAGGACTGGTTGTTTCTCTTCGCTTCCAGTCTTTATGCTAAGGTAAGCTGCTGTAGCGAGCTTTGTATTTAAAATCCTCCTAAAATGTCACATTTTTACCTAAACATCTAAGAAACATGAAGCAGCTTTTTACCTGAACGGCTCGCTACTCCATTGGCCTTCTCACTGTCCTCCACTTGGCATTTCTTTTTAGCGATCTTATGAAGAATGGATGCCTTCTCTCGAAATTTACCTGCAAAAGAATCACCGCAATTGTTAAGCGTGGAACAGAGAGCTGCGTACCGTAGCACCTTCAAAGCCTCTCGGCCTCATCCCAGTCAGAGCTCCTTCGTTGTCACCTTTGACCCCAGATGGGTCACATTTCAAAAGCACAGTGCATACACGGTGGTGGCTTTACACAAAACTGCATCGAGAGTCAATATGACGTAGCATATCATATACTGATGATCCTGCATTGTCCTGGTCCTTGGTGGAGGCAAAGCCAGCAGGGAGGGAATCTCTTGTGAAGAGATCTGCCTTCTGGAGGTCAGATTCACTCCTGTTCTCGCTCAGTTCTTATAACAGATCAGAAACTCACAAGAGATGTCAGAGGCCAGCGGGGAACTAAAAGCAACCAAAGGTTTAGCTGGGGACAGCATCACAGCATATGAAAAATAACAAATTTAGAGGTTTAAGACACTGTATTCAAATATTTATACAGGACCTTATTTTACCATTATTATAGCCCCTTCTATTTTAGCATCTTTTGTATTGGAGTGCATGTAAGAGACATCTGCTAGTTAGAGAATTGAATCAATATTTAAAAATCACTGGTAGAGATTAATATACTTTTGCTGATAACATTTATTGATTCAATAACTCCACTCATACTGGAAATGCAATGCTGTGACGCAGTAGACTGAATTGAAACCAGTCATCAATTGAACAACATGACCTTGTGGCTTACGTAAGCAGCGTGCTCTCTTGACATTACAAATAATGGCTCACGCAAGGCAATTCTGCCCATGTTGTAATGACTGGCGATGACTGGCCGCTGGCTTGTGGAACAAAGACTTTCCACAAAATCCCTGTGGCCTGAAATCCCCCAACGACAACACACATGAATAATAATACAGTACTGAGATGAGAAGGAATATGACTCCAAATACACAAAAATCATGTAGTGCAGGTTTTTATGTTCCCATGTTATACTAATTAGATTTTAATATTTAATGGCTATGCAGGCTGGGCAGTAACTTCTGTGAGTGTTTTCATTTGAAACTGTGTTGTAAGGAATATATTTCTCATCTATGATGTTCTTTCGGTGGAAAACCGGTATCATTAACCTCGTAGCCGTCATGTATCCATATCTAATTTCACTGATTTCCTGTGCGTGTCTGCTTTTGGATGCATGTCCTGCCTACTCCCAATCAGACCATTGCAATCAATGTGAAAGATTTTCTTTTCTTTTTTTATGAGGGCATGGCTGATCTGTCAGTGCTTGACACAGTGGCGCGTCAATACGTACTCCACCCAACCATGTCAACACTGTCTGTGACCTTCTGGCAAAATCATTAACCACCCCAAGTCACCACCGGCCTTCCTCCTGTCTCCTCTATCTATTTCTCCATCGCTCTCGTTTTTCTCTCTCATCTGTCTTTGGCAAACACGTCTTTCTCTCACTTTATCTTTTCATTGTTTGGCAATGCACAGCCCCCCCCCACGCCTGTCTCTCTTTCAGACACACACATGCACACAAGAACACACACAAACACATACTGTACATTTTCACAAGATGGCATCACACATTCCACTGCCTTGACATCACTCACCTTAGGCGGTCATTGTCAGTGGGTTGTATATTGTAGTCAGTGTTGCGTTTCTACAAATGCGGGTGTAAGACTATGTCTCTGCTTGGGTGTACAAGCAGCAGGGTTGGGCTTTCTGCTGTAGGCATTCACAGGAAATTCTTAAATGTTGAAGAAAACCGCTCTAGCATGACTACAGACGCAAAGAGTGTAAAGTCAGACTGGCTGGCAAAGATTAAGGTTATAATGCCTCTTTATATGCCTTTATAGTTGATTATTTTACCAAAATAACTGTCATAAAGTTACATCTTAAATGCAGATACTGCACTCTGCTTTGGGATAATCCTTACAGGGTGCAAGGGGAAATGCAGTATCTTACCAATAAAACTTAATTTGGATTATTTATAGATTATATTTTACAGGAATTAAATGCACCTTTGGTTTTATGTCTTTGATTAATGTACTATTTATATTAATATTTATGTAATTAATTAATTTACTTTTAGATATCTGATTTAAAATGTAGCTTAATCACGCCGATTTTCCCAATTGCATGATGAGTTAAAAGATGAGATGGCTGCTGCTGAAATCTGCTAAGCTAGTTAGCCTTAGTCAGAGCTTGGCTTTTTAAAATAGCCCTAATATAGCTTACTAGTTGCTGTACATTTTCACAGAAATCCTACATTTCTATGGCATAATACTTTTTAAACTAAGCTTAAAATTTTTTTATTCAGGTAAAAATGTGTAGTTACTTTGTTTTGCCTTTTCACGGTGTGGTCTAAAATGTCATTATGCTTTAGCTCTAAGTGCAAACAAAAAAGAAACAAAGTTCCTACAAGGTGCATGAATCAGTGAGCACTAAGACAAACTCCTTAGGTTTAGACAAAAGCTTTAAAATTAAAAACTAAGCGAGATCAAAATTTTCTTGATTAAATGGCCTGCAGAGTGGTAAAAAAATGTTTCCTTGGAGGTCCATTCAAGGTGCACATATTCTCAGAACCATCTCATTTGCATAATGATGAAGCAATTGCAGGGTCTTTAAGAATAACCAGCCCTTCCCAAGCTGCCGTTACACAGCCGCTCATTTTCCCTGTCAGCTCTGCCTGTTACGCAACCGCCGGGTGGATGAGTCACACCAGTTTGCCGAATTCAGCAACGTACGTCTTACGTGTGTGCACCCGCTGCTGGTCCAAGTGAGCTGTGTGGCATGGATGATGTATTTCTCAACTACGCAGATGGGTAACAGGGCCAAAGAAAAAAAGAAAAGAAAAAAAGAAAAAAGAAGAACCTTGTGCCTTGTGTTTTCTGAGTGTGGGGGGCATGGGATGGTATGCTGTGCATTTGTGTGTGCTTTTACCAGCCTGCATAATAATAAATGCCTTAAAATGTAACCAAGAAGAAGCAGTGGCTTTCTCACAGAATCAAACATAAGCAACACATGACTGTAATTTTCTAGGTTTATTTAAAGTATCTTGCTGATAAATAGAATAAAAATCCATAGAAACACTACACACAGTAACACACAATATGTATGAACATATTCTGTGGGCAGAAATTAAAAAATAAGCCAAAAATATAAATGAGAATAAAAAAGTAAATAAATAAAAAAATGGTATGGCTTCCATGATTTGCACTTATGTCAGTGAAATCTCAGAGAGGTTGTCAAACTTAAAAGCAAAATTGTGCAAACTGTATGTCACAAGCAAACAAAAAATATGGGGTTTGGGGGATGCTATTTCATGATCAAGATGACAAAAAAAACCCAAAAGGGATGACGGAAGCTGACTCAAAGAATCAAGTGAAAACTTTCGGGCTTACCTTCCTCAGTCATTGAGTGATAATATTTTAGTTTCCCATAAGTCCCAAGCTCTACAACATCACAGCAAAAGACAAGGGTAAGGCAACGAACACACAGAGAAAAGGAAAAGAGTGAACATGACAGAACAAGACAGGTCCGCTGGTTCTACATCACATACTGTACACACACTCACACGCACGGGCACAATGAGTGACATACAGAAAGACAAAGTCTCTCAGTAATCACTGCTTAAGTGCAAAACAGAGCGGCCATGGTTGAATTACACAAAAAAAATAAAAAAATAAAAACACATTATAGAATTACAGTAACTCCTGCCATTGGCACAGGTTACAGGGCTATTAGAGAAGATTTAGGAGATTTAGAGAGGGGGAAGGGACAGTCAATAGGCTAGAAAAAAATAATAGAAGTTTCATACAAAGATATATTTAAAAAAAACAAACAGAACAGGAAAGTCAGAAGAGAATTTACTGGGTCAACATGCAACAAAAAGATGAGTCCTCCTCTCCTCTGCACGCAAGTTTATTCAAAGGCTTGATGATTCGGCATTTTATTTCCACAATGAAACCCGAACAATTAATTTGATTCTCTTACTGTAGCAGTTCTTGGTGCTACAGTAAACAGACGGTCAGCACATCTGCATGATGAATTAGCCGGGAATTCAAACCTGCAGCAACAGCTGAACGTGAAGCAGCAGAACAGAAGACACCGGGCCACGAGGCTCTACCTCCGACACTGCACTTTGCCTCGGAGCTGTTTCGACAGTAATTACTAACGGCATGAAGGTTTTTGTTTTTAGTGTCGCTCTGTCCAATTTTCTCCACCGTGAGTTTTTGGTCCGATCCTGGCAGAGCTGCTACAAATGTGATTTAACAATACTGCTGGTTGTTGCAATGTGTTGGTGTCTACAGCAAAATAAACCAGAACATAATTAGTAATATTTAACAAGTACAAAACAAGTACAAGTACAGTGCCTACTTGAAACGGTTCACCCAAATTACAAACATAGCTCTATAAAGCTACACAGACAGCTTTTGTTTTATTTGCAAAGGTGAACAGTTTTTCACTGGAACTACTTTCGACAACAGACGTAGTTCCTCTGAAAATGAGTATGTTCTGTCTAATATTACAACGGAAGGAAAAATAAAAAACAACTTACAAACTACTTGCATGACTGGAAAAAGTGATAAAATTCTTGGCAACTTCTCGTTTTCCTGCTAGCTCCTGTTTCTCGTCTCATCTCATTAAGGTGAATAATGTTGATGATGGATTACAAGGAGGCTTCATTTGGAAGACTGCTTTCATACCAAATGCCACATTAAAAATATGAGTGATTATAAATAATGTAACTGTTTTAAATAGTCAAGCTCTCTCCTTTATACCTCTCAAGTCCTTTGTTATTAAGCTATAGGAGAATTCTGTAAATTATCTTTTGTTGTGACTGTTAACTAGACTGTAATTTTGGCCAGGTATCTCATATAAAAGAGATAACTAATATGAAAGGATGTTCTGGTTAAATAAAGATTAAGAAAATGTTTTTGTTTTTTTTTGTCATTTGGGTAAACTGACCCATTAACTCTTTTCACAGGCACATTTCAAGTTCTGTACATGTTGTAGGTGTAAAGCACTGTATATATATCCACAAAACCCACGTGCACTCACGCTAACATCCAACTCTGCCCAACAGTGGGCGACCACTCCACTCACATGTGAGAGGATTATGGTGTAAATCTCATGCCAAATGCGAGACTTGGCAGCCCCGAAAACACAATCTAATGAGATGAAAACACATCCCGCTGCAGAGTGTCTTGCTCATCTGCTGCACTCCCAGACAAGTGCCTCAATCCCATATGATTAGGCCATTCGGGTTTGAAGTGCGCTATCACTGTAAGGTCTGCCTCTAACTGAGGCCGCTCTGAGGCCCAATTAACCCACGACACACTCACTGTCGTCAGTTTGCCCTCTGCAACCAGAGAGAGCGAGAGCGAGAGAGAGAGAGAGAGAGAGAGAGAGCGAGAGAGAGAGAGAGAGAGTGAGGGGGAGGCTTGTTGTTGTTTACCAGGGGCCCTCTTGTCCTTGTGGTGTGACCTCTAAACCTCTGATGAGCTGTGTGTTAAGAGTGTGAGTGTGTGTGTGTGTGTTTGTGTGTGTGTACGTGTGTGTGCATGCCCGCCCTGTCTGCTGGGGGTTGGGGTGTCAGGGAAATTCACAGTCTGTGCTGAGGCAAAAAGGCTTTTAACATTGATTCTTTCACCCACGTGGCGCAGGGTGAGCTCAGAGGGCATGGGGGGGTGACGTGTGTGCGTGTGTATGAGTGTGTCGTGGTGGATGGATGACGGGTTGGCTGTCACAGTTACATGACATACTGGAGGGATGATTATGTATCAAAACCATTTGCTACGTAGATAAGGGGCGGTTCCTATGAACATTAAAATACACTAAAGAATTTTGAGAAATATTCAGATTTTGCTGCTTGTTAAGAGTTAATGACTGATACCCCTCTTATATCTGTCCCTTTACTTAGCTTAGCTTAGCACAATGACTGGAAACAGAGGGAAACAGCTAGCTCGGCACTGTCAAAAGGTAAAAAAAAAAAAGCACATATAGCCTATGTTTCTGAATTCAAATATTAATGGTAAATATATGAAAAATAAATAGTTCTGCTTTAACAATAAATGAAAAGATATCTCATTAATGTTTTATTACGTTGCAAATACAGTATTTTAGTTATTAAATTTTTCAAAACACATGAAGATGCAACTATGTCAGACATATGCCTGTGTTATTTGGATATCGGTGTTAGAATATTACCACAAAAAAGGATGTAACAGTACAGTTACAGTGTTACATTGACACAAATAAAGAATAACCTACAGCAGAATGTTAATGTAATATATCTGCATAAATGGAAAATATATTTCCATGGCACAAGAGGTGGGAGGTCAGTGACAGTGAGTGCATTATTGAACCATGTGATCAATGGGGCCCTGGGTCACCACACAGATGGTACTGCTGGCAGTGGGTTGCCTGGATGAATGAATTTACCTCTCACACTTAATGGCCGTTCAAATAATTGAAAGTCCTAGCATAGAAAATTCTGAATTTAGATTATCCCTTTCCTTCATTGTTTCTTCATTTGCTTCTTCATTTTGCTCTGTTTAGGTAAGAATTACACCCTCACAAAGCGATGGAAACACATTAAACCTCATTTGCTGCCCTTTGGCTGATTTCCTTCCGTGTCTGCATCGAAAACATCCAATGAAACAGTGGGCCACACACTCTATCATCTAACCCGCTCACCCAATAAGCGTACAGTCTGCCAACATGGGTGTATCATGGTTTGCCCAAATGACCTTGTCTTCTCCACTGTCCCCTCCACTGTCAGCCTGAGGAGGACTTTGTACGATGTCTGCTCAATAAAAATGGCCTAACATCAACAAAGATGTCCAAGGCCGCACTGGCATTGTGAGCGATCTTTCCAGCCGATCTCAGTGAGATAATGATCTGCAGTAAAGCATCTGATGAGATCGCTGGTCTGTGCTGCCATATTTATAGCGCTGCACCACATCATCACAGAGCAGTGACGTAAAAATTTATGAATTTCATAGATGCTCCACTATGGTCAGTCGTGTGCATCGCCCATCTTCTTCCATACTGAGGTCAACTTCAGCTATGGATATGCACAGACTCGCCACCAGAGCTCAGATCTTGGGGCGATAAATCTTATTGAAGGGCCTGAGCCAAAGGCATGCACGCAGCCAGAATATTGAGTGCTGTTTTGGGAGGCTTGTTTCAGCCATCCACTGAGAGCTCAGACAGTAGAGTGAGAGCCACTCTGCCCTTATCCCTCCCCATCTCTCTTTGTAGTTCAATATTTGATGCCACTCCTAAGTGATATTGTTTGTAGCTCCACACTGATGGAAAAAGAGAAGCGGGCACTTGTGCCTAGAACTTACTGTACCGGACTATTACAGTGTTCTCTCCAATGAAAAACATGCGGGATTAAAGGTCTATTATTAAACTGAAGGACATTCACAATAACAAGAAAGCTGTTGTTGGACATAATTTGGATACTGAATAAACATCTACTGTATCTCTCAAGAAGCGTGTGAATACTTAAATGATAATAGTGTGGCGGGAACAGCTAATTGTAAAAAGCTGTAGAGGGAAACTAATTTTATTCCACTGCCATTTATCGCTCTGTCAAGCTCTTATTGATTGTGAATCCTGAGGAAGGGCATGTGAGGAGGACTGACAAAATAGCTGACAACTTTTTTTTCCATCTGCCCAATACACAAATTCATGAAGTAAGCACAACGTTGTCAAGTTGAGAGGACCTAGGGTGGGATACTTCTTCCAACACCACTGGCATGTTTAGCTAAATGTCTGCAGGGTAAATAATCTTCACAACCCAGGAGTTGGAGGACAATGCAGACAGGAAAAACCCAAAATCGCTCCTTTTGGGCTTTTTCCTGTCTCGCAGAGAGCAGTAACACAAAGCTAGAACTAAAAGGAGGTCATAAGAGGAGAGAGAGGATTAGGGGACAATGGGGAAAACAATGCAGAAATGGTTACAGAGGGTTTCCAGGGAGAATACATCCACAGAGGAGAATGAGATATTTGAAGGAGAGAGTCTGCAGGGATGGACAGTACAGAATTGACATACAGCACAGCGGCGCTCGGGAAATATACATAGGGGACACGTTGGCCAAGAGAGTTGTCTCCAGGCTGTTGGAATGAGAACAAACAGATTTTTTTTGAGGGGAGAAGGATACGGAAATTAGAGGAGTAACTCACCAGAGTCAGCAAATTCTGAGGGGACAGTAGAAGAAAGAGAGATAGGAAGACAGAAACAGAGAAAAGATAAATCCAAGTGATATTTAGTGTGATAGCCCACATTAAATCATAGGTAATATGCAAAGATGAGAATAGCCCATTATATGATGCTAGTAAAGTAATTTAATTTAAAAAGTTATTAAATTATTTGATATTTTGTGAAATGTGCTTTTTTGCTTTCTTGCAGAGAGTGAGATGAGAAGAATGATACCACTTTGAAGCTAAATATGAAATTGGGGCCAGGGGATGCTTAGCTTAGCTTAGCTTAGCACAAACACTGGAAGCAGGGGGAATCACCTAGCCTGGTTCTCTGTCCAAAGGCAAGAAAATCCACCTACCACCTCTGAAGCTTGCTAATTAACGGGCTATATTTAGCTTCCTTTATCCATAAACACAGAGGTATAAAAAAATAAGTTGTGGTCAACTCAAATAAGTGACTGTGCCCCACACATAACCCCCCTGTAAAACCTCAATGAGCTTAGCTTAGCTTAGCGTAACAACACAATTAGCTGCTTTTACACTATAAGGATTAATCAAACAAGATATAAAAAGTTAATTAGTGAGCTTTTGAGGTGCTGTTAGGGGAATTTTCTTCCATTTGTATATAGCTAGCTTTCCCCCTGCTTCCAGTCTTTATGCTGAACTAAGCTAAGCACCACCTGTCTGTAGCCTCATATTGAACACAGATATGAGAGCGGTATCACTCTTTATTAACTAACTTTCAGGCAAGAAACCGAATAAGCGTATTTCCCAAAACTATTCTTTTAGAGAGAGACACATAAGCACAAATGCCCAATGCCCAAACACATCCTCTCAAATACCTACAATCATTAACCAAGGTTTTTCCTGCGTAGTGTATTTAAAAGCTAGCCCAGACTTCATGTTGCCTTGACAAAAATCTGGCCATGTTTGCAAAAATGAAACCTTATGTTGCATTAATGTAGCAGGATAATACTCTCATTTAAATTTGTTTGGTCAGCTACAATACAGATCAAGCACTGTAGGAGGAAGGGAGCAATAAAAGGAGTGAAGTGTCCGACTATTTAAGCCAGGAAAAACCCTAAAAGCACAAATACACAGACAGACACACAGACAGACACACACACACACACACACACACACACACACACTTCTGACTACCCCACTCTAAAAGACTAACAAATGAAAGGTAACCAGTTCCCAGCACCAGCAAAACAACCTCAGACTTTCTTGCGGCTCGGAAGAGCAGGCGACTTTATTTTGAGAAATATCTATGAAAAATGGATGGCTGGAGTCCTGCCAGCTCCCCTCGGCCCCGCTGTGCTACACTTAAAGCCTAAGAGCACGCAAGGACAAGCAGCACAGCCTCCGTCTTTGATGGCTGCACCTGTTCGTCTCTCTCCAAACTACTCACCAACAAAATGCTCCTTTGCATTAATGATATAAATGTGCACAGAACACAGTGGGACCGACCTTTATTGGGCCCTTACGGTAATGGATCAATGAAATGATTAAATTTTCACTAAACCAATGAGGCATGTGAAGAGTGCGTTTTAAAATGAACTGATATCATCGTTACATGTGCACAGGAGCGTGGGAAAACGTCCAACGTGCTACATGGAAATTTCAAAATAATATATTCGGATCAAACTGGAACCCAAAGTGTTGCTTTTGTTCTCTGCGGTAATTAATTCCATCCTCAAGTCATGTCACACTGTAGTTGTTGTTTCAGTGCATTCATTTCCTGTAAGTAATTTGCCAAAAGACTCATCAGTCAAATCTGGCATAACACCCTCGCATTTCTGCTGCATTCATACTGAAGCTGAAGAGTTTGACTGTTAAAAAAATCTACTATTAGGAAACAACATATATATTAACACACAGTAAATTAATTTTGACTTAAATTTTTTAGATGCTTGTTGGTGATTTAGACCCGAACACAAGCAGAAAAAAAAAACAGCTGGCGTCAGACTTTTGCGTGTACAATCCAGCCTATTAATCCTCATGCCATCAAACAAGCCATAAATATTTCAGTCTACCATCATCAGTGCATGTTAGACGCCCCGAAGAAGACCAAATGACAAATGGCTCTACAAGGAGTGGCGGGGTGAAGAATGTATAGCCCTCTCTTGTGCGTTTACGACTGGCCATACAGACTTCCATTTCCCCAGCGGGCTATGATTTACATTTTAATCACTGAGATGGGAAGATGAATACACTCAGAGACGGGACGCCTCGGATTCAGTGTACAACAACGAGTTGATGCATGTTAATGGCCACTTTAAGGTCCGTCTCGGCACAGCTTATTAATCTTTCCTGAGCTGACTCATTCTAGGTTTGGCTTTCAAGAAATGTACAGTCATTTCGGAGAAAGCTGAAATGCCTCTTCACTCAAGAGCACGTGTCTGCTAATGCAATTACATCCATCCAGAGGGGAGCTATTTAGTCTGGTCATTGTTTTATGCTTATGAATGGCTGTTTGACCTTGTCCCTATGCTGTATTTTTTGTAGCAACACTGATGCTTTTAAACAGAAAACATACACAGTAAACACATTTCCATGAAAACTAGAAGGAAAAAGGGGGAACAAAAACAGGATTTAGTTTCAACATTAATATTCATTTTTTTACGGATTAGGATTCATCACGCCAAAGACCTCTCACTGAAAGCTAAAAAGAAGACAGTCTAATGACAGATTCTTCTACCCTCCACAAGCCCCTGTTGCATGTTTGCTCCCCATTAATGTGACTTTTTTTTTCTACCCTTCGTCTTTTCGTGGTGGGTTGAGATTGGGATGACACTGCACCTCCCCCGACATATTAACATATACATCCCCTGTGCCGAGCACTGACACCGCCGTTTTACATTTCCTTTAGCTAAGCTAATAGGCCTTCATCTTGGATTAAAGGAAAATGATCTTCCACCTCAGCTGTGCTCTGACACAGCACCAAGCTCACCCTGTCTAGCACGGACTATTTTTAAAAAAGGGATCAATTTATTCTGAGCAAATAGGGGCTACAGAGGTAGTTCTAAATGTTAATGGTGACGACGTTAGATTTGAAGGGGTCCATAACTAGGGGTACTACTAAGTCAATATTTTTTATTTGGACTGAATTAAAAACACCATAAGGATGCTTGATTTAGTTATTCATATCTACGAATGTGAGCTCAAGTTTGGGGCATGAAAATCTTTTATGTGCTCATAATATACAGTAGTTTTCTTCCAGCAATGGTCTTGAATTTTTGGTTTACGTACATTCCTGACACATCTGAAAACAGAATTTAGGTCATTTTAAGAGAAAACCACAATATCAACCTGAAAATAGACAATTATGGACAATAAAAAAGAACACCTGAGCCCTATATCCTGCGTATATGAGACTTACAGATGTGAAATCCATCACTGAAGACTGGTGTTTTCTATGTGCAGTTTGCCTGACTGTCTTACCTTCACTTAAAGGGTCCAACGTGTGAATCATCAGTTGGAAAATGCTGTTCCTCATCAAGCTGTTGTGGAGGGAGGCAGAACTACCCCCCCTCTGAAGCCGAGGCCTGGCCTGTGAGAGGAGAAACAGGGTGTCAATCAAACTTTTGAACCTAGGACATGTTTCTTATGCCTCATTTCCTCTGCAAGGTATGGCTCAGCTCGCTTGACTCAACTTATTTGGAAGTGTTCTCTTTTGTTTTTTTTGTTTTTCCTTGGCAAAAGTTGTGGATAGTACCTGGTACGGGTTCTGGTATCACCATTGTTGAGGTCCCAAGCAAGTTGAGCTGAATGGAGGAGTTAAAAGACTGCTGAAATAATCGTCACTAGAATCGTCACGTTTCATGCACCGTTGCTATGATGTTCGGATAAGGCTCCTGCCTGCACTGAGAGGGTACTATCTGCAGTGGAAAATGAAAGGCGAGCCGAGCAGTGGAAATGAAACTTTACTAGCAAAAAATAAATAACTTTAGTCCAACAACTAGTTCTTATAAAGCACATATGCTGATATTAACATCAGTCTATCAATTGTAAGCACTTTACTAGAGCCATTTCTAATCCAAGCTGTTTGGAATAGGTTTCTCTATAATCCTCTTTTACATAAAACCCCTAAGCGGAACCTGCAACCCAGTAAAACTATCATAAAGCGCCTCAGCTTCTTAAAAATATAACTCCCATGGGTCAAGACAGGCGTTCACAGTTCAATTGGCATATGTGTTATTTCTCCCAAAACAACCCTTGCCAAGGTCACTCCAGCAGTTGAAGCTGAACTTGAGAACTGTGGGAAATTAGGCACCATTGCAGGCGGCAGCTGTTTGAAGTGTGTCCCCCTTAGGCTGCCCACAGGTGATGCGTAGGCACAGGAGGTGTCAGGTGCTAATTCACAGGCCCATATGGGTGTGAGCGGGAGGCAAGGGAGGCATGTAGACTGGCAGGGCTTGTGTAAGATGTGGCTTCTCAGTGTGACCCTGAAGATTCTCCTTCTGCCGCTCTGTGTTATCTTCTTCCCTTGCAATCTGGATGGCAACTAAACACTCTGGTGCGCTTTTTTGGGGGGTACACGAGCATTAAAAGAGTTGCAGGTTTTCTAAACACATGATCCTTCCTTGATAGTCTCTTGCACGCCACGTAGAAAATGTAACTGCGAAAAAGGCTTCAGAAAACAGAGGGAGCTACTCTCTGCACACGGGGAGGCTGAAGGTTACCGATAACAGTGTACATGTCTCGTTCACAGTATGGTGGGAGAAACAAGTTACGCTACTACGGAAACAGGGACAAACACAGAAGCAGACGGGAAGAGTGTCAATCAGACAGGACCTACCGACAACTTGCCGTCATCCTCTGGCGCCCCAGGACTTGCCTTTTCATCCAACACAGAGAAGAAGAAGTAAAAGGGGGGAGAAGGAGAGAAAGAGAAAACAGGACATAGATGTGAAGCATGCCGCACACAACCACACAGACAAGATGAAAAGACGATAGAGAGAGACATTACAGTGATGGTGATGACTGACTGTGATGTGAGTGGACAAGACTTGAGGGACAGATTCCTCCCCACTGCTGTGCCTGCCTACTGTGTCAGTTGCATGTTGATCAAGATTAGATTGTCTACTTGAACTTCTTTGAAATTCATTCACCAATGTCCTTTCAATTTCACTTATTTGAGTCAAGGATGAATGTCTGGCATATCTTGGTGTACACTGTAAAAGTAGAGTAACATTAGAGTAATGGTGAAGAGGCAACAAAGAAAAATAAATATTAAATAGTTTGACATCTTGGGGGAAGCACACATTTTCTTGCGTTAGATGAGAAGATTGATAATGCTATGACGTCTATTGTATGGTAAATATGAAGTGACAGCCAGTTAGCTTAGCTTACAGTTATCATTGTGCTCATGTTACTATTTCTTCAATTCCTTCAATCGCTTCATATGACACATCAGCCATTTCAGCTGAATCCAAACTACCCAACACTGATAGAAAACTCAACCTTATGCCACAAATGAAGTGAAATTTTAAACAAGTCCCTTGTTTTTGAACCGTGGCACATACAAAGCCAGCACCTTTTTAAAATATGCCAATTTGTGCTAAACTTTATATCCAACAGATAGACTTGGCATCAATCTTATCATCTAACCCTCAGCAAGAAAACAAATAATGGTATGCCAAAATATTCCTTTAAATAAAAGCCTAGTCTGGTCCTGAAGGCCTACAATCTCCAAAACTTTGCCTTGCAGTTTTCGTGCTGCCAGTTTTAATGTGATAACTTTGCCTTTGAGAGTGGGCATGTGCCAGATCATGCCAAAGTGACTCCAGTCTTTTAACAATCACTCAATTCTCTGCTATCATTCTCAGCGGGCCTATTTGGCATGTGCAGTACTGTAACACAGTCTATTTTTGAAACAAAAGCCTTTCACCAACTGCCTGACTGAACTGTGCTCACTTCATCTTCATCTCCAAAAACGTGTGTGTGTGTGTGTGTGTGAAATAACAGTCGCTTAAGGCCTCTGGTTTCTAACTGCAAGGGAACAAAACACAAAGCTTTTGTTCAGATCTTAGCATACCAAGGCTTTGTTTCAAAGCCTACACAGTTTTCAGACAGAAATGTGGAAAAGTGAAATGTGGAGGCACTGGTGTGTGTTGATAAAGTGTACAACGCCAAATGAAATGCAGATAATTATCCAGTTTGATCTTGTGAATGTTTAAAAAATGCAGGGCAAACATACAAATTTTAAGACAGGGCCTTGAGGCTTGTCAACCCAGTGATTAATTTGCATGCTAAATGACGCTGCATTGCATTGAATATCAAATCTCTTGATGATCGTGCAGGCAGGAGGAGTGCAGCGTTAAGTTTTCACCTCATGAACCGGAGTTATGTGGCTGTTAAAATTCGCAGAATCCCAAAATTATGAACTTAATAAACCAAATTAAATAAACCATAACTTGAAATAACTTAGCTGGTATCACTTTTAGAAAAATCCACCAATGCAGTCATTGCGAACGTCAGTACCCGCTGTGTCCCACTGTTTCTGTTTAACAGTTCATAATTTATCATATATTAGGTTAGTCTCTGTATAGCTACAGAATAATTACAGAAATGACGGAGCTGAAATTAAACATTTGCCAAAAAAACTGAGCAGAAGCTGAGCTAATCCTGAGATTTTCCACAGAGCTATTCAACTATAACCTAATTTTTTCCCCATTTCGTATCTTCAGGGTAATTCCTTGCACACTCGAGGTATAATTATTCTATTTCGCTCCCTATCACCCTCCTCAAAGGCAAGTCAGGAGGGTTAGAAGAGAACAGGTGAATGTGCCAGATAGAGATTATGCCGTGGGTCGCTCATTAAGCCGGCGTTAAATATTATGACTAATAATCACATAGGGAGATTAGTATGTTCTCTGGAGTTTGTGTGTTCTCTAATACCAGCAGCTCTGCCTTCCAGTCCTTACGTAATGTCACATCAGGATCGTTCTTGGAAGAGGATCAGCTGAGGGAGATAAATGTCCCTCTGCGGCCACATGCATGTAGCGCCGTGTTACGGAGAATTATCGATGAAGAGTGTGACATCATGCAAAAGTACTTCCGCTTTTACCGCTCAAATTGCCCACAGCTTAAACAGTTTTGAGGGGGGGGGACTTTCGGAGGAATCTGTGCACACTGGTGAAATTCTGAAAGCGGAGCTGGAAGTCCTGACTTTCGAACATCAGCGGCGGATTATAGGTCTTCTCGTGTGCAATCTCAGTGCACAAAAGGGGTCTATTTCTGGATGAATTTGATTTGCATGTCCTTTATTCTTCGACATCCAAGTCAAATTACACAGGAGAATAATAGCTTCTTTTTTTTTTAACACACACTTTCTAGTTTGCCAGTGGTGGAGATTGATTAAATCCATCATAGCGGTGCTTTATCCTTTAAATCCTTAATATACTCCTTAATATACCCCAGCTATACAATGAATTATGATAACAGCAATCAGCATTACATTTTATAAATCTGAGGAGCCACATTCCATATTATTTCCACTTAATTTCCCTTTCAGCGCTGCTTGGTTTTTTCTGAGAATTTGAATTCAATTCTAAAAACTCAATGTGGATCATATGAAAGCGGGGACCACGACTGGGGATAGCTTCTCACTGTCACACTTGGTTCTACTGTCATTACAATACACCATTTACTGCCATTTCCACAGCAATAAATGAACACCCAAAACTCAATTGGCATCACATAAATGATTTATCTCATGAAAACAAGTTGGACAAAACAAAACCTGAAAGAATCTACTAACCTATTAACACTTCATACACGGTGTCTTAACTTATCTAAGTTAATACATTACAGAGTCTGAACTGCTATAGCTACAAAAACTGGCTGTGTGATATTGAAACTTATTTTCAAACTATAATCATACTCTTCATAACCTTGAGGAAATCAACACTTTAGATTAAAGAAACACTTTGACAATTTGGAAAATACTCTTCTTTGCTTTTAAGCCGAGAGAAACAACAACGTCTGTATGATAAATATTAACCGACCACGAGGAGACAGTTAGCTTAGCTTATCATTAACACTAAAAGCAGGGGGAAACAGCTAGCATGGCTTTTTACGAAGGGAAGAAAAATCTGGAAAATCGTTGTTTTTGTTAAGATTAAACAAACTAAACATTATGTATTAATTAGTAGTTTGGAAGTGCAGGTAAGCCAATTTTCTTTCTTTCTTTCTCTATTTGGAAAGAGCCAAGCTATCTATTTACCCCTGTTACCATTCTTTATGCTGTGCTAAGCTAACAGGCTGCTAGCTCCAGCTATTTAATGACTTGTGAGTGGTATCCAGCTTCTCTTTCAACTCTAAGCAAGAAAGCAAAAATTTGTTGAGCATAACATTAAACTATTCCTTTAAAAAAAAAATCAGCATTTACAAAAAAAAAGGTACAGACTTAAGATTAGAAATATCAAATTGCAATTTCTTCAACTATTAATGACAAACAAGCCCAAAAGAGCTCTTTACAGTGTATTTTAATGGTTGTCACAAGTAATATGCGGAAGAATGTGCACAAGCCAAGAATTAAGCCAGACAGGCAGACAGACGTTGCAGTAGATCTGACATTTCTTGCATGATACAGTCTTACATACTGAAACTATAGTGGATGTGGAAACACTATATATAGCATCTGTGAGCCTGAGTATGTAAAGATATGCGAAAGCCAGACTGCCTGCCTTGTTAAGCAAACTCGAAAAGTGAAATCTTGCACAGCTCCAGGCGTTTGCCTACACGTGCTTACAGTAGGCAGCCTGTCTGTCAGAGCATGACAGAACACCCTTCGAGATTTGTCCATCTAGACTCATCGCGTTAGAGCTAAACTGTTGAGCAGCACGACTGAGCAGCATCTCTCTCTCTCTCTCTCTCTCTCTCTCTCTCTCTCCCTCTCCTCCTCTTTCCCGTTTTGCCTGGAGACGATAATGATGATCTTCAAGGAAAGGAGGGAAAAGATGCACAACAAGTCAAGAAGCCATCTACTTGCTAATTAGTAACCCCTTCATTTTTCTAACAAGCAGAACTAATTACAGGATCTGCCACAACGCTGATTTCCCACAAGGCAATGCTCACCAGGACTAAGCCAAAATTGCTTCCTCTTACTCCGCCCTCCCGTGAACCAATCAGACTCAGGCTTTTGGGAGACAAATATGGGAACAAAAACTGCTGTGTCATTTTTGCAAGTGAATGTAATCACGCAAAGCTGGGTTTGATCAAGAACAAGTCATTATTGTCATTTCACTATCAGCACTCCATGTGCTTGTAGTGTATTTGAAAGTCAGTTTTCTTGTGTTACTGAATCTGGGTTTATAATAATGTTCCAAAAGTGATTTATTCTCTTATTCACCAGATTGAAATTAGATTGTGCATGTGCAACATAATGTTTTTTGTTGAGTAAATACAAGAGGTGGAATAAAAGCCTGCAAACATGATCGAATTTGTATCTTGTAGCTTTGACTTGCATATACAGAAAACCAGAAAAATGGCTGTACAGGGTTCTTTGTTTTTGAGATTGTAGCAAACGATAAACAAAAGTTTCTTCCAGGAGTCGGCATTAATATTCTGCAGCGTGTCCACTCTGCTCCTGCTGCAGCACTCGCTGCCCCAGATTTTTTTTTTGGCTGCCCTCTCCTCTTTATCTGCATGGCCTAAGAGTCATTTCTTGTCTTTTGTTTGGGTTTGGCCTATATCAGTACCGGTCCTGCTGCCTTGTCATGCAGAAAGACTTTTATTTTACAGAGTGTAGTGGTTCCCAAAAGAGGCAACCAGATCAAACTCAATTGTTGACAGTGGTCCAAGTCTAGTTGCCTTGAGGCAACTGGGCAGTCCTGCTTTTTCC